AATTCAGATCCATATCAAGGATGCGTTTTAATTATTCCATTTGCACCACTAGGCATTATAAATTTTTTTAAGCAAGTGGAGTGGAAGCATGGCTGGGGGGTTGAAATATTTCAGATTGTGTTTTTTGAATTGTCTGATCTAAATGCGGATTTGGTTGATTGTAGCTGTTAATTCTTCCTTTTTTGTTTTTTCAAAACCTGTCCTTACTTTTCACACTGGGGTTTGGATTGTTTATCTTGTTTACACTAATTCAGGAGTTGATGATATACTTTTCATTAGAATCTTAAATCTCTAGGTTGCCGTATGATTTCTTGCACCCAAATCATCCAATTCTATGAGGCATACATGTGCTGAGACTTCATAATCTATCTGTGCCCTCCTTGTCAGCAGTAGGCTGTCGTGTCTGGCATTGATGGTGATGGTGATGGTTAACTTAGGATTTTACTTTTAAAGGTGGAAACTATTTAAACTGTTCAGGTTGTTTCTATATTGTCGTCTTGCTATTTGAATATTCTTCAATTACTCGATGTTCAAAAAACATCTTTGTTTAACTGTTAACCTTTTATCATTCATTAATACCCATTGGAAGGAACTGCTGATTGTAACATATATGAAGATTGTGGATACCTCTCCGTCAATCATAGTCAGTAACTTGTATGGTCACATGGAGTTATATTTTTGATAAAATATTTATATAGAATAGCAGGTATTCTAGTGATGCATCAGTACTAACATTAAGATTATTTATGCTTTGATAATAGATTATTTATATGCTCTGACTTCTTTCCTGATGGCTAAGTAGTTCCTTGAATCAGATTTGATGATATATTCTCAAGAAATTAATAAATTTACTGTACTTACTCAAAACATAATCTAGTTAAAAATTTGAATCTTAATCTTTGATCTTTCTAACTTCTGATGGAATAACAACTAATGACTTTGCAGCTTCAAGGAGCACGAGGATGGTCAGTGCACTGTATAGGACAAAACTACAGGATGGATATGTCTCCTATCCGTGGGAGAAAAGGATGCAAGAAGTACTTTTGATAGCAAACTCAAGTTGCTTTCTTTCCATTCTTCTGCTTCCTAAAGCTTCCGATCAAGTGGCTTCTCGATACAATGACCTGGAGGATACTCTTGCTCGAGCAAATGCCTGGCTAAATGCATCTCGGTCTTCTGGGGTACCCATTGCCTTCGTGAATATCCAGACTGAGTCCCTTCTTACTAAGGTATACTACTTAAAGCACCACATTAGAAACCTCCAGTGAATCAGTCTTCTGTATGTGTGCGTGAGATTTCAATTTCTCAAGTTTGACCATCTAGCAATCCTCTTGTAACTGTTGAGCTGATTTTTCCTCTAATTTTGGAGCAGATCTCTGGAGAGACGGCCTCCTCTACCGTGAATGCAGGATCATTGTCTGATTTATCAAATCTTGCGAATGCAAGTCTGTATGGTTTTGAGGATTACCATGGAATCGACATTGGTGTTGTCCGAGCTGTTCGTCTCTGGTATTCTCCAATTGGAGGAGAAATTCCAATTGAGATCAAGCTAGAAGAAGATGATTCAAGGCTTGGATTTGCCATTAGTCGGACAGAAGAGGTATGCTTATTGGTTACCCCTGACTTGGTCCTGGGATTTCATCATAATGTCATCAGATTAATTACAAAAAATGACACCCATTTATAAATGCTAATATTTCCATCTAACTTGAAAATATTAAACTGAACTAGAAAGCAATCATATGGATTATGTATCTTGATCAATTGGACTTTAGAGATAGTATCTATCTTGCAAACATATCTTGTAGTTTGCTCATCTTTTTTCTTTATTTTAACAGGGATTCATCTACATTTCTTCAGTTATTGAGGGCGATGAAAACGTACCGTCAACAAGATCAGGAATAAGTGATCTTTACAAGGAAGCAGAAAGTGCATCCAAGCTACTGGTTGTCTCAAGAGTATCAAACCAGAAGGTCCTTCCATGGATGGTCTCTTCAACTGGAGCAGTTCGCTGTTTCGATACAGTTTCCCTCAGCCAGAAGCTCTCACTACACCGGCATGCCAAGGTGCCAGTTCTTATTCATGTGTTGCTGTGCGATAAAGCATTGGCTTCCCAGAGCGGAGGAAGTTCCAGATTTGAAGCATCCTCTCCAACTCGATTACCCCTGCCACCTGAAGTTAGACTGTCACGCATTCCCAACGAGAACCAGATACTGCCTCTGCCGCCTGAAGTTCCAGATGAAAGCAGCACCATGAATGAGCAATCAGAGCTCAGACTCCAGCGAGACACTGCTGGGGAGGTCTCCTTCAGGTTCCACAATTTTTCACTTCCAAACAACTGGGTCTGATTTTCTTTTCTGTTTTACATATGCAACGTCCTTTGGTACATATACTAGCAATAGACGGTTTGATACAGAAAATCCAGAATAAACTCATGAAAAGTGGTCTTCTTTTTTTTTTAATCAACAAAGTGTAATGTTTGTCCCATACATATAACATAGTTATCAATTTCTTCAATGGGTGTATATATGAACATTTGTAACAGAAATTTTACAAATGCTATGGTTTTCTGTTCTTTATGGGTTAGGGTCATTGCTGTAGCTTGAAGTCTCTTCATTTTCTCAAACCAAACAGCCTACATATGTTATATATGTTATGAGTTAAGAATTTGAGGTTTTATATCTATATGATAGCAATTATTTTCCTATAGGGGAAGGGGGAAAGGGAAAGTATAGTTTAGAATTTGAAGACGCAAGCCACCAGTGCAATTCAAAAAGAAGTGAGTGCCACTTGCTTCAAAGGGGGATTCGCAATTCGGTGCATGATTATTTAAGAGCAAAAAAGTAATATTTGAATTGATTTGCACATTCTATAATTATTCATAAAATGTGATCTTTTTTATGTTGAGATAATATTTGATCAAATTTATTTAATTTGTATTTTAAGAAAATAGGTTAAATTTTATTAATTATAATATTTATAAATAATTTT